CCATATAGCCTAACCAGTGGAACATGGGACAATCTAATAAGTCTATGTTGGTCCGTCTCACTAACATTCTATCCAGGTAGCTAACCAACTGGGTATATGTGCCCACGTCCCCCGCCCTTTGGGTGATCGACCCGGTATTTATCGACGAGACCAAACTCGCTGGTCAGATCAACCAAGCTACAACTACTCTTTCATACCGTCTTCTGATTTGGTTTACATGACGTATGAAATTCGGTCCCTGAATCATGTAAATCATGTTACCAATTTGTTTGTCTATTATTTCTATCTCCCAGTGAGCTTTGTTATTTCGAAAATAAACCTTTTCACCGATCTTAAAGCGCTTTTTAAGCACTTTATTCTTATTACCCGCTTTGTTTCATTCGGAAGGAATTTGTCAAATACCGATTTTATTTTCCTGGCAAACATGACCTCCGCTGGCGTCTTGGTAGATGAAGCACTACTATTAGGAGTTACCCGATAGACCTGCAAAAACTTGTGTATAGCCGTATCGGTTGGAGTACCTCTCGCCTTTCTCAATACCCTCTTAAAAGTATCTACAAAACGCTCTTCCTGTCCATTACTTCTTGGGTGATATGGTGCTGTGGCAACATGTTCGATCAGGAATGACTGACAAAAATCTTTAAATTCACACGATGTAAACTATGTGCCATTGTCTGTTACAATACAGTCAAAGACTGTGAAACGGGCAAATAGTTCGTGTAAAAGATTTACTGTCACTTCCGCGGTCGGCTTCTTACATTTCAACTACTATGAGGTAGTAAAAACTATCAAGTGGTCCAGCAAAATCAATATGTATCCACGACCACAGACTGTCGGTTTGAGACCAGGGATTGAATTTTATCGGGGGATACTTTAGCAGCCAAAGCACATCCTTTGCACGATTTTACCGTGTTTTCAATATTCCTGTCCATGTTGGTCCAGTAGACGTAACTCCTCATCAGACTCTTCATCCTTGAAGTTCCCGGATGGCCAACATGGAATTCCTTTAGTGTTCTATTCTGAAGTGTAGATGGGATTACTACTCTGTCTCCGTACATCAATATCTCGCTACAGAGTGAGTGAACTTCTGAAATACTCTGATCTTTGCTTTTTAATTTGTCCTTTACTTCCTTTATGAGACATCATCAGACGCTTTGTCTATTATTTCGTTGATTGTTATTGAAAGCTCCCTGACAGTATTGCACAAGGTACTTTTTACGTCGACCTCTGTTCTTATGGCAGTAATGACTGTGTCTTCCAGGGGTTCAGCATATTTAGGTATCAATCTCGATAACCTGTCTGCATGACAGATTTTAGTGGATGGGAGAAGCTCCATTTTGTAATTATAATTGAGGAGAATGGTTCCCCATCTTTGCAGTCTATTAGCAGTATTTGTTGGTAGACCCTTTTTTTATCCAAAGATAGTAAGGAGTGGACGATGGTCTGTCTGCAACACAAAGTGCCTTCCATGAATAAATCTATGGAATTTAGTTACCGCAAAAATGATTCCTAAGGCTTCCTTTTTTATTTGCGAGTAACCCCTTTCAGCTGTTAATAGCGTTCTATATGCATGGGCGATTGGCTTTACTGATCCATCCTTTAGTTTGTGTAAAATGCACGCCCCGATACCGTAGGAGCTATCATCGCTGGCTACAGTGATGTCAAGGTTTGGATCGTAATGAGTCAGGAACAGATCTGATGTAAGGACCTCCTTTATTTTCTCAAATGCTTCCTGGCATTCGGTTGTCCATTCCCGTTCTTTGTCTTTTCTCAATAATTCATTAAGTGGAGCTCTCAAACCGTGCATTCTTGAAACAAAAACGTTATAACAATTGGCAAGACCTAAAAAACTTTGAAGAGCTGACACATTTTCTTGTGTTAGCATATTCTTTATTGCCTTTGCCCTATCTGGGTCGGGACATCTTCCGTCTTTGTCAATTATTTGCCCCAAGTACTTGATCCTCTCTAAGAAAAACTCACACTTCGCGTCCTTTAGTTTGAATCCGTAATTCATTCGATTCTCCTGAATATCTGCCAAACGTGCAATTTGTGTTCCTCGATGCTCTCACTTTTCATTAGGACACTATCGAGATAGGCCACTGCAAAATTTAGACCATTTAACATCATGTACATGACCTGCTGAAAAATAGAAGGGGCGATCTTAACCTCGAATGAAAGTCTTAAAAAATTGTATAAACCCTTGTGGGTGTTTAGACAAAGGAGCTGCAAGCATTCCTCGTCCACGGGTATTTGTAGATAAGCGTCGCTTAAGTCAATCTGACAGAAAAAATTTCCTCCACTGAGCTTAGTGAATCTCCTCTGGACTTGGAAAAGGATAATGGTGATCCTTTAGGGCACTGTTCAGAGAAGTCAGCACATATACGAATTTCTTTGATCTTTTTTTTATTATAAACTATGGGAGATGCCCATTCGCTATATTCAACCTTTGCCAGAACATCTCAAGTCGAATCAAGTCTTCGTCAATTTGAGATAACGCGGCAAAAGGAACGTTACGTTTTTTTCTTAAAAACTGGGTTTACGTATGGCTTTAACTCAAAATTATCAGACATTTTTGTGCATTTTCCTAGTCCCCCACTGAAAACGCCGGGAAATTTTTTTTAAGTTCACCTTTCAACTTTTCTGCTTCGTTAGTAAAATTTTCGACTTTTTGACATAGTGAGTTAATAGGCATATCCCAAAGTTGAAACTGTTCTAACCAATCAGCCCCGAACAGATTACCCGTATCCTTCATAATATACGCCTGAAGTTTTAACGTTTTACCTTTGAATGACACGTTCGTTATAAGTTCGCCCATAAACTTAATAGTGTCGCCAGTTACTCCTTTAGCTATTCAGTTCGTTCTTAACAAAGTCGGCCTACCCAATTTTCCATATTTGATAATTAATTATGGATAAGTCTGAACCCGAATCAAGCTGTAGCCGTATATTTATGTTAAATATCTGTATTTCAATATATTTCCTGATGTTACTACATTCTGGTTCATCAGACTTGGTAATTTTTACAAAACTTTTTTTGTCTTGTTCTTAATCCTAGTGGGAACTTGTGTGTCCCACTTTATCGCAATTAAAACATTTTTAGCTTTAAAAGGACAATCTCTGTACCAATGTAATTGACCACACCTGAAACATGGTCTTGACGGCAAAGTAACGTTATTATTTTTTGGTTGTCCCTTTTTAATTTTTCTTTGACGTATTGTTTTAATGTGAGCCACGCCACTCTGTTCGATGTTTTTCGAATCCTCTCCGATGCTCACGAAACGTTGGCAATCTTCGGTAACTTGCTGTAAAATAACGTCGGGCTCGTTTTCAAGCTCCTTGAGCACCCTACGACGTATTTAGGCGTCTTTCGTTGAAATAAAAACCCTGGGCGAAAATCAGGCATTGTAAATTAATGGCGCTTAACTCTGCCAATTTGAAATCATCGCAGTGTTTATTGACTACACTCGCGAAAGTAGTATAATCTTCGACTTTGCGGGTGAGATTCATGCATTTCCAACGCTTGTGGAACAGTGACATTTTCGGACTGAAGAGTTCTGTTAATCATTGAACCGCCTCTTTAAATTTCAAGTCGCTGGTTTTCTTAGGCAAAATATAGTTAACAAACTTAGTATATTTTGCTGTGCCTAATTTCCTGAGAAGTAGGCGAACCTTTTTATGGTCAGCCCAATTTGCACAATCCGTATTGTATAAGTCCTCGTAACGTTTAAAGTACGAAACGAACGTAATTTCTTTTTCAGATGCGTACGTGAAGTTTTCATTGGCACTCCATATAGCATTTTGAGAGAACGTGTTTTCGCTGTCCTCATTTTGGCTTTTGTTGGATAAGTGCCTTTGCTTATTCTGTGTTTGAAGGAGGAATTCCTCAAGTTTCTGTTGTCTAACCAGAAGCTCTAGGTGCATTTTATTATTGTCTTGTTCATTTTGCAAACACAATTCTGCTGGTTCTTGTTGGAATTTCTCTTATCTTTCTTGAAATTTGTGTTCCAACAGTAGCTGTTGTTCCTGTTGGTGTTTTATCAACTCTAGCATTGCATTTTAAATTCGTCCATTTTACTGCGGTGGTACGAACAATTAAGAAATGAAGTGGGGAATTTTTTTTTCACTTAACCAAACAATAAGTCTGTTGAACAATTCTTTTTCAGAAAAAATTTAAACGCGAGAGAGGGGGTAAATTTTTACTTTACTTTATTAGTGAAGAAAACAATAAGTCTGTTTGACTTGTACAGTTCTTTTACTATCTTGTTAGAATAGAAAAAAAATAACAAGGTTCACCAACCTTCTTCCCAACCACTCAATTGAACTTGTAGAAATCCTATTGTTTTGCAGAGTTTCTTTTTTTTTCACTGACAGTGCTGTAATTAACACTGGATATCCTTTTGTCGTAGTGTTTTGTGTAGAATTCCCTTCATCACCAGTGTTGTAGACACTGGCAAAAAATACCTAGCTAATCCGATTCGCGACCCATTCATTCATTACAGTTTGTGTATTCACCACAAAATCTCGCCCGTCACCAATCAATCCTCCATATACCATAATACCTCATACTCTCAGGGAACCTAAAAAATGCACCCCATGACATAAGAATCTGATGATTATAAAAATTTATACATAAAAATTATGGATGATTTATAATGAGAGGGGAGGGGATAAACTCTAAAACAAACTAAATATCAACACAAAGCAAACTAAATACACTGATGTTAGTAGGACCCGTTCAACCCTCAAAAAAAAGAGAGGCCGCTGTATTCTGCCCATTGGACAAAATCAAGAGGCTCTCTCGCTAAGGGAGAGGGAAAGGAGAAAATATATACGGACATGGGAAATATATAAAGCTGACCCAGTCGAGATGAAAAGGGGGCCAAAACAAACTGGGAAGGTTGGGAATCTCAACTTGGATCATAACCAAAGATGTAGCCGGGAGCAGGCCAGGAACAACACTTACACACATTAACTAGGTACACAAAGCTTGTCTAGCCTAACCAAAGGAGGGCTCCACAGGAAACCACCCCGATGTGATAAAAGAGGTTGACCTAAAAAGAGAAAATCAAGGGTAGCCCCGTTCAAACGAACCAAGCTCACCTCAGTCATCCACCTTTCGCTAAAGTTTGTCGAATGCAAGCGTTTTCTATCAGTTCTAATCGTCATCTTGAGCTGATGCCCAAAGAATCGAACCAGATCCTGAGAAGAAAGACGGTTGCCTCGCAAGACTTCCCCCTGTCACGTCGTCCAATCACCATTGGGGCCGTGGCTAGCACCGCCAGAAACACCATTCGTTTCACCCCAGAATACGGGGGCGACACATTGTCACGCGCGTACGCGCGATCAATGAGCACGATCTTTTCGGGAGCGATACGAGCCGTCGACTCGCCGACATGGTCCCATAGTGGGCGGACCCGAGGACAATAGTAGAAGGCGTGCGAAACCGTTTCTTCTAAACCAAGGTCACATCATTCACAGTCTGGCAAATCCGTCAAGCCCCATATGAAGGCCTTGTCATTGAGAGGCAGCTTATTACAGGCTAGTCGCCAGGTAAGCGAAAATTCAGGGTTACTGAGCTAATCCGCCGCTGGCGCCTAAGACCAGAAAGAGCGAATCTCCTCCTCCGACAAGTCGAACCGCCCACGTAGAGGAGCTTTTGCGACCCCTCCGCTAGATGACGATAGAGGACCTTCTTAAGTCGAGAAATGTCACTGATGATTGTCAACGCATATCGACATTCGCGAAGTACAGACAAGCGATAAAGGACAATCGGAAAGACACACGCCTCCGCCCTGCCCTACACGGACAACCTCCGTCGACGCCAAGTCTGACCGGCCGCGTCGACCTTTGCCTGTACTTCGAACCAATTTTTCTCCAGCTGGAGATCAGGTCCAAATCACGCTCCAAGAATGCGGACAGGACTGTCCATCTAACCAAAGAGCGCTGGAAGATCGACCCCCTTTCAGACACCTAACCGCAAGCCGGATGACTTGTCGCGGTTAATCTTGTGTTCGTACCGTTCAAACATCTACAGTACCACGTCAATGTCGCTGCGGGACGACACGAAAGTAGATACGTCATCGGCGTACGCGGAAACCCTGGCTCAAGCCCATCCAGAGACAGCGATTCCATGTAGGGCCGGACTGCACGCCCTGACCTCTAGCCGGCGAAGGAGAGGCTCCAACGCCAAAGCATACAGTAGAGGCAACAGTGGACAACCCTGACGTACCGACCGAGACAGCGCAAAAGCGCCCTGACAGCCTCCCGTTCACTTGTATCACAGCACTGGGGGAGCGATACAGCAGGCTAATCCAGCGGCAGAAGTTGGGTTCGAATCCGGTGGCTAGCAGGAGAGCAGCAAGGTAGCAATAGTCAACCCTATCAAATGCCTTGGACTGAGCTAAATAGATCAGCGCAGCCTTATCGTCTTCTTTTACACCCTCTAGGATCGTGCGGATCAGATGCAGGTTGCTCTGAATTTTTCGGCTCCTCATAGCGCAGGTCTGCTCAGGATCCAACAGAGAATCGGCAACTAACTGCAAACGCTCCTGCAGGATCTTGGACAAAATCTTGAAATGTGTTCAGCAGGGTTATAGGCCTATAGTCATCTAAATCCCGTCCAACACCCTTGCTCTAGCACGATCACACCCCTGGTGAACCGGTCGGGGACGGTCCCCTGTCGGAACCAGTTGTTGAACACAACAGTCAAAATCGGGACAAAGATGTGCGACAGCCTCAAGTGCAATACATAGGGAAAACCATTCAGATCGGGCGACTTGCCTCTGCCGACCTTCTTCAATGCCGCGTAGACTTCGCCCTCCGTGATCTCTCCCTCGCAGCTAGCCGCTTCACTCGGCAAAAGCCGAGGAAAGTCAGCCAAATAGCTACGAAACTTGTCATCACGGAGACCAGGCTCCTTGGTAAACCAGCTCTTGAAATGCCGCCGAAACGCCTCGCATATAGCGTCAGTGGCTCGAAGAGTATGCTCCTCCAGTGTTTAGACTTCACGAATGTGCCGACCGGAACCTCGACGGATCTCTTCCTTGCGCAATTCTGCGCCCATGTTCACCGCTTCGGAAGACATCTTGCTTAACCTATGTCTAATTACCTGGCCCATGTAGCGCTTGCTAGTCAAACGCTCAAGGGCCTCCCTAGCTAAGACTATCTCTAGGGGATACCCCTCCAGTAACCGTCCGGGAAAAACTATCCTTAAGCGCCTTCATCTTGTTAGCTCTATCTAGGACGAGCCGTTTGCTAAACTCGATGGTGAAGGACCTAATCCTATTCTTAAGCCTCTCCCACCACCTATTCCCGATAACTGCTCCCACTAGCTCCCGCTGCATTAAGCTAGTTAGCTGTTCCTGGAAGTGCTGTCTGTCCAGTAAAGACAGCTTGAACTTCCAGTAGCCAGCCATTCTAGGCCTACATTCTAATGCCATCCGGGCACAAAAAGTTTTGTGGTCCAGTGGAACGTGGGACAATCTAGCAAGTCTACGTCGGCTCCTCCAACTAACATTCTATCCAAGTAGCTAACCACCTGGACAGAAGGCCAATTAAGAGCCCACATCTACATCTTCCTCCACTTTGGGTGATCGACCCGATATCTATCGACGAGACCAAACTCTTCGATCAGATCAACCTGGCTACGATCGCCCCTTCTCCCTCTAGCTCCCCGCCCCTGACTAACTTGGGGTCCAGGATGTCATTCCAGTCCCCCGTTAAGACTAGACGCGTTGAATCCACCAGAAACGGCCCCAACCGCCGAAAAAACGAGACCCACTCCTCCTGGTTGTTAGGCGCATAATTCGCACCGACTCGGAACGAACCACTTTTCACGGTAACATCGGCCACGATCAACCGGCCCTCGGTATCTACATGAACAAGGTCCACCTTCGCATCCAGGGTACGTCTAACCAACAAAGTCGGTTCCCATATGCTGAATAGACGACAAAGTCGCTAGACAGCACACACGCACGCATCGATCGCGGCGACATCCACTCTGAACGACAAGAGGTCACGGAGCATGCGGGCAGCCTTACCCCGATCCCTCAAGCACTTCACATTCAGACTGGCTAACTTGATTGACATCTTTTAAGCCTGAAAGTAGAAAAATAAAAATTAACCTACTCACATATCGGGCGGAAATCTGCGTCACAAAGGACCCCGATGGATTGTCCTAGGCTCCCTACACCTAGCTCTGACGTCATCCGCCTTTCCAGGACGATTCCGCCAAGGTCCGTGGGATAGGTTAGTTTTACACACATATATAGGGAGGGGTGGGGTAAAACAGAGACCCTCCCAGCACAATATTGTCTCAGTTTTTTTCAAATGTTAAATCAATTTCCACCATTCTAATTTTTGAGAATGGCTCCTTAGTTTCCGCCAAATGACCCCAGACTTTCAGGTATGTCCCAGTGTCCCTTACACATGTAATTACACCCGAGGCATTTGGGAAGTTGCGGGGATCTTCAACAGACTTCCCGTCTGCCGTATTCATTTTATACAAAAGCCCCAATTGGGCCTTTTTTGGGCTGGACAGGCCCCTCTTGTATTCCTCCCTGTCCACTCTGCAAATTGCTTCTGGACCGGGGAACAATTTTTTCTTTTTTGTCTCCCTGGAGGGCTGGGGAGGGAAAGATGTTGACGAGTGAGGGGGTGTCGATAACGAACTGAGGGAAGAGTTTGAGGGAGAGGGGGACGGAGCACGGGAAGGGATGAAGAGAGGCTCCTAGCCTTGGCTACTTCAACAGTTTTTTAGGGGAACCAGGGACGGAGAGGAACCTGTTTTTGTCCATAACCCTCTCCGCCCTCCTACGCTCGTAGTGCTTTTGAGATGTCGTCTCCACCTTCTCTTCCTCCTCTCTACATCTCTTAAGGGACGATGCCCGAGCTGGAGGCATTTTGTCCACCTCCATTTCAGTCTCAGTTTGCTGTGACTTTTGTTGCTGTTGCTGTTGTTGATGTTGCTGTTGTTGCTGTTGTTGACCTTGTGTCTGTTTTTGCTTTTGTTGTGGTGCTTCTATTCTTTGCACCTCTTTTCCTGGCTTTTTGTTGCTTTCTTGTGGCACTTTCTTTACCAGCTGCTGTGGTGGCTGCTGCTTTGGTGCAGTGTCATCCTTTTTGGTGGGGGAGGAAGGCACGTTTTTCGTCCTCCTACCGCTTCCAACCTCCTTCCAGGCACACTCGGGGTCTTTCTCCGCTACTCCCTGTACCGCGGGTGCTGCAAGTACTGCTGCCGCTGTTGTTGCTGTGGGCCGAGTTTCAGGCGGAGGACGTTTAGCTAGGCACTCTTTAGCCATGTTCCCTGACGCACTGCAGGACCAACAGTATGGTTTCCTGCCCTCAACTACCACTAACATCCTCTTTTCTCTGCATAATATTGGGGATTTTCCCAAAACTCGTTCGGGTCAATGTAACCTGCAACTCGACGTCTCCGGTTGCAATTCCTGATTTTCCTAATAGAGCCTTCAGCTCCTCCACTTTGCCAAATTTTGAGAAGAAGGCCCCCATTCTATCTTCGGAGATATCCACGGGCACCCCATGGACTGTAATCTTTGTCTTATGGGAGCCTATGTACTCTGTTTGAAGTCTTTGATTTTTGTTCGTTAAAATACTACCAGCCATTTGTTTAGCGTCCTGCTTCGTGGAAACTTTTGGATTAATCTTTTTTCATTTTTCTGCGTAATACTTGGCGTCTTTTTTCTTTGGCCTATTCTCGCATCAGGCCGTTGTTGCTGATAACACCGGCGGTGATGTATTGGAATTATCGTCTTTGTTCATGATGGCTTAAGTTAAAAGCCACCACGGGAAAAACAAATAATCGGTTGCTTCTCTTTTTTTTTCCCCAGAATATTTTACAACGAAAAACAAAGAAACAAAATAAACAAAATACAAAATAAAACGGAACAAGAACGTGAACAACCAAAGACAATAAGCAATTCAAACAGATACATACAGAAAGTAATGCAAAAAAATAAAACCGGAGGGAGGGTAAAAATACAAGAAGGAAAATTAAATAAACAAAAAAGAAAAGAACAAAATGCACAAATAAATACGCACAAATAAAAGGAAAAGAAAAACTGAAAATTCAAAAAGGTTTCTGAAAATAAAAAGGCAAAAATTTAACAGTTCACTTAATTTGTAGTTCAACACTCAAGCTGAAAAAACAGTAATTCATTCAAGAAAAAAGGCAATGTGTAACAATCTATACTAGTTTCCCTCGAGGCTTACTTTTCTACTAATTTTATAGTAAGTGGAAGAGTCCACAATAGACTCATTAGTGGGAGGACACCACAACAATAACTGTGTCCTTCCTGCCTCTTTCAGCCCGCTTCTCCTTCTTTGTGTGTATATCCTCCTCTTGCTTGTCTCTTCCCCCCTTCAAAGATGAAGACTGTGGTGGGGGCATTTCATCTACCTCCATGTCTGTTTCTTTTGTTTTTGCTTTTTTGGGGACTTTTGTTTCGGCTGTTGTTTTTGTTGCTGGTCTTGTTTGTTAGCTTTTGACTATTTTTCACTCCTCCTTTTCTTGATGCTGCCCTTTTGGGGGCTGAGGCAGCGGCTGCTGCTGCTTTTCCGGCTGCTCCTTGGGTAGTGATTGCTATGGGACCTCCTTCTGGTGGGGAGGGCTTGGCGTCTTTCGTCCCTTTTTCCCTACATCCTTCCATCCTCCATCAAGAACCTTGACACTACTGCTGCTTCCACTGGTGCTGCTGCTACTGATGCTGCTGCTACTGATGCTGCTGCTGCAGTTGCTTGGCTGGGCTGAGACGTTGCCTTCTTGCCGGATATGCCTTTGCCATATGTCCCATTGCACCACACAACCAACAGTAGGGGTGCTGTCCTTCTACCACTACTGGTATTATTCTTTCCTGGCACATTAATATATTGGGGGTCTCACTGAAAGTCTTCCTTGTCAAGGTAACCTGAAGAACAAAATCCTCAGTGGCAATCCCTGCTTTGCACGTTGTTGCC